CGGCGAAGCTCGCCCGCCGTGGCAACGTATCTGGTGACATCAGTCCAGTTTGTACAACCATTAGCCATGCATTATCGTGCGTAGCACATGCCCCAACCAACGTCATCTATGGAGGTCGAACACTTGCTCTAGTGGACGACCACGACTACGTACAACTCTACGCCTAACCTAAGCAATGCTCGTCCGGTTAAACCATCATGCAATACGACGTAGACAGCAGAATTTGTTGTTATCCTGTTCCCGTAATGGTCAGGTCTCTGCACCGTAGAGTTGTACTGACTGAACTGCTGCAGCATATACTCGACCGTTCACAGAAAACCGGCGCCACAGATGTCTCAATTTGGCAAATGCCAACCGAGCCATTTTTATACACGTCGAGATTTCGTCTGTGATGCGTCCGCCAGGTGAGATGTAGCTACCCAAATAACATAACGTTTCCACTTAAAATATTACTTTCTCAGTTAGAATGAGGTTGGAGCCTCATCCACTCCAGTCTTGTGGTACTGTTATGGTTTGTTTAAAATAAACCACGCTTCTTTTAAGTGAGTCCACTAATAATAGTAATAATGTCAATCCCTATGGAACGCGAAATCACGAGTGGTGGTGGTGGTGGTGGTGGTGACAATTCTCATTAGTGTGACAAGCCAAACCCAACATCGCCGGTCAGTAATAATAATAATAATAACCAAATCTGTGAGGTGGTTCGGTGAGGCCAGTCCATATTCCATCTTACACAAACAAAGAGGATTATCTGATAGCAAATTAACCGAACTACATGCTAGGTAGGTACCATTCATGGTAATACCTTGCCGCATAGACATGCGGGTACCTAAAAGAATGCATAAGGAAACAGATTATGCAATCACGTCGTGCTGAAGGCGAACAGAGAGTTTACGCGTTGTAACACATGCAACATGTGCGGCTTGTTTGGGGGAGTCTAGCCTATTCTATCAGATCCAATCGATTTGTGGTTTTGTAATTCCGCTTCTAGTAAATCGATTGTTGGTCCAAATGATAATAGTAATTATAGGTCTTCGTAAACCGACTTTTCGGAAAAAGAGGACAGTGCAACGTGAAGATATAGAGACGTGAAAACCGGGACGGATCCGTCAGACATAAACAGACGTTCTCTACCGGATTAGTCAGCTGAGCGTCTTACAATAACGGGTAGAATGCGAATACTAGCCGAAGAAACACTTGAGAAGCGAGTCTGCAATCGGATTCAAATGTCTCACAATTGAAACCAGCATAAGGCGTGGCAACGAAAGATTGCTAATGCACATAAACGAAAAACACTTTCCGTTGTTGTTCAAGTCAAATAACATGGCTGAGATCCGAACTCTGCCAAAAGACCCCATGATCTAGAAATCCCGGCACAATTACCACTTTCTATTCAAGCGAGTAGTATCAATAACGACGTCATCTGGTTGTCAATTTTCCGACGCTGATGGAAGGAAGCTTTTCCTAATTCTCAAACAGCAGCCAACTGTTTATTTTTCTTCGAAAATCACCAGTTATGATTGACCGTCCACGAAAATCACGCACAAAATCATCACAAATCAAACACCGCAGACTAATCAATCACAGAACCGTCAGTTTTTTGGACGTCTCATCCCAGAAGTGCATCATTAATCTGTTGAGGTTTATCACAGTTGAATTCACTAAATCATTGTTATCACATTATTCACCATTTCTCTGAAGTGCTTTCTGAGATGATCGCCTCAAATTGCAATATAATATTCTGTGATTCATCATAGCATTCAATACTCTATGTGGTCTTCGATTTTTGGGCAATTTTATTCAGGAAGACAAATACTCACATGATCCCAGAGCGGATCAGAGAATTCTTTGCGGTAAACACGGAACATGCGAACAGACTGTTGGCCTACTGATCCGGAATCCTCTTTTATGAAATCGTGAACGGACTGTTTCACATGACATGTGTTTCGTTCTATACAGCCCGATTTCCTCTTCATGTCTTTCATGTTATAAACAATTCATGACTTGCGGATTTATTAATAATTCAAAGAAAATATTTCCGGTGTTTCGATCCATATAGTTAGTTGCCGTTGGCAGCGTCACATTTTCCTGTTGCCTTGGTGGATACGTTAAAATTCCCATTTTGATGGTACGGAAGGTGGAAAGAAGCTTCGTTCACCGACAAACTAACGACAGACAGACATATCATAGAGTATCAGTTCCAATGCTGGCTACATCATGCACCGGTATTGATCTAACTCGTGCAACAACATCCTGACTTTCATCATATTTATTCTTCCCAACGAGTAGTGTTTCGAGCCGCATTCACGGGAGTGAATAAAGAGCTATGGCATGCACTAAGTCCATCCCATACCACTAGGACACCTTATCTGGAACAGAATCGATTTTCCCCAGTCAAAATTAAAATCCGTATTCTAGTCCAATGTAGCGGGTGAACACGGTGACTCGGATTTATTCGGGAATCGCGCCACAATCGACCGATGTCTGAAATCAAGTTCGTTCCGATTAACTATCACAATTTTCGTTTGAGAAAGATTGTTATCGACGTGCACACAAGTGGCAAATGATGCTGAATTACACACATTTGTGTGATAAAAAGCAAACGGGGCAAACCCCATAGTCACGAGGATCTGCTGCTCCGTTATGGAACCCGAGACTCGGAGTGGCGAACCACATAAAGCCCCGATAGGTTAGGCGTGCTATTGAACCGGACGACAGCCAAGACAAAGGTCAGTAGCGGTGGCGGGGCTCGAACCTCGCACCATAGGGTCCAAGGCACGCAAGTGACAGCGACTGAACCACCGCGCCACACCACCTAAAACGGCCCTCTGTGCAGCATCAATTTCTGATGCGTACACACACACACACACACACACACACACACACACACTTCTGACCCGTCGAGAACTATGTAATCGTACGTCCGACATCCGTCACCTCGTTCGGTTTTGCCACAGCTGAATCAAATGCCTGAAGGCAAAAAAGCACCTCATCGTACAGCGAAATAAAGGGAAGCGAACTTCACCGATCGCTGCTAAATTCGTAATGCATATGCATTGGAGTTTTGATGGACGGGTACTGCTAGGGTATCCAGCCACTAAGCAGGAGAACGATCAGGGTTCTCAACCGAAGCCTTCAATTCTGACAAGAACCTAGCCGCAAGCCAGCGGGTGAAGCGGAGTGGAGGCCCAATTACTTGGATCAATTACTCCTCCACCATTTTTAACCGACTGAAACGCAAATTTTAGTCGAACCGTCAACCTGCAGGACCAGGAGACTGAACTTCGTCGAACCTCTATCCTACGACGATCCAGGTAAAATTAGATCTCACGGCTTGATAAACACCATCCTGTGTAGTTCGTTGGGTCAGTGAGGTGCACAAGCCATCACACCACGTCAAGGCGCAGTCTCATCGTGTTATCCCTAGCGCATACACGTACAGTCCCACGCGTGGACTAATTAATACAGCCCCCATCTCCCCTCTGTGCACTCCATCAAATCATGAGTGACTAATCAACCCGGATCAAAATGACCACATTTTTACTGGGTTAAATTTTTTAACTTGATTTATCTACACAAAATATTCTGTTTTTGGCCTGTTCTGTCTGCATGGCCCTGCCGTCTGCATTCTATTCTTTCCAGGCTATGAGCAACTTTAATTTGGTTGCACTATGCAAGTTCAATTACTCATAAACTGTTGGATAAATACAGTCGAGTGTGATTTTACAGTGCCACTGAACAGTAAAACTGTCCGAATTCAAATTTGTTTTCGATTAGCTGTGGATGGTTTCAGGTGATGCCAAAGGGAAATCACAAATTTTTAAGTCACTCAGGTTGTGCGACCGTTGTCCTTTTCGGCATTCGTTGATTTCTGCCTTTCATATGCAATGGAATGTTAAGATAGTCAGTAAAAAGCTGGTTTTTCGTAGTTCGGGGTTTACGAGCACTGGGTATATGTATTACTTGACGAAGCCATGGATTGGAATCGGAAATACTTACCCTTGAACTACACACGGTCACTGAACGTTAATTGAAATTAGAGATCAGCTTGTATAAGTGGGTGGATTCATTAAAAGTTATGTAGACCCTTGCGTCAGCGCATTCGCGTGGGTCATGTGAAATGAGGGCTTGTCTGTGGTTGTCATGTCCTGGTCGATAGGCCACAGATTCACAATCCGGTTGAAAATAGCTTCATCCATTCATCCGACGAATGGGTTTTCAGTCGACGTGATCGAACAGCTCTAGTTGGACGCCAAATCCAGCGGTGTAATGGCTAGCTACACAAGTCATACAAATGGTTCGTCCAGTATAAATGTTCGGATAGAAAGAACCAGTAGTGAATGAATCCTGCTTATTGGCTGGACACCCTATTAGTACCCGTCCATCAAACCCCGGTGCAGCGATTAGTGAAGTTCGCTTCACTGTACCTCGCTGTATGATGATGAGTGAACGCGCAATGAATGAATGAATGAATGAATGAGAAAGCAGATAGATTTCGATTTCAGAATTGGCCACTTTGCTAGCGTTTATCCCTGCTGAGAAAGAAAAAAAAACAGCCACAAAAAGAAGGCGGAAAATGCTTTCGAGCTAGAGAGAGAGATGCAACGGTATCTACCGTACTGAGTGCGGGTATGCATCATTCGATTGCTAAGAGTCAAGTGCACGCAATAAGAACAATCAGGGCAGTTGACAAAATGGAACACAAAGAGACATTGATTTCCTCACACCCGCACTTCACCCTCCTTCTCGACTCCCGAAATAAGTTGCACACAAAATTTGCCGCATTATGAACAGAGAAAATACTCATTGGTGATTTCTTACTCTTGGTCCAGTCAACAACTTTTTGTGCAGCATCGTTAACTTCATCACTACTTCTCGATGACGACAGGATTGAGTTCCTTTGAATGAAAAATTCGGTTTGATTCGGTTATCGGGTGCCTCTTATCGTTTGTGACTTCATACCTATGCAACAACTGAGCTTGGTTTGTGTGTGTGTGTGTGTGTGTGAAGGGACAATTCATTTCGTTTTTCTTCTTTTTTTTGAACAAAATCTAACAGATACAGTGATGTCCGTGAACACTCACCTGTGATTGGTTATCTCATTGGGGGTTGCTAGAGACTCGGGGAGAGAAAGACTTGAAAAGACGGATTGTGCTCGTATTCATATTCCACAGCGTGTTTAGTGGCTGATCAACTGTGATCATTTTATTCACACTCATTGGACACTTCATTTCCCCCGTGCCGTAAATAGACTTTACGAAAGTATGCCCTTGTGCAACTTTAATCGAAATTCTAGTGGGACGTTTTTTGGAGTATGTGTGTGTGTGTGTGTGTGTGTGTGTACAGAATGAGGACAAAACGGGACAATTGTGACTGTTTCACGCGAGGCTATTGAAGTGTGCTGGTTATGCCCAAAAAAGAACCCTATCGGCGCCTAGATTACACTAGCCGTCCTGATCAGTTGTAAAATTTGAAGGTTTTCTCGCCGTTGGTTCATCGGCTGCGACGGACGACGGAGTTCGCCGAGCGAATGGGACTCATGTCACAAACAGTACCCAAGACCATCAACAGTGCTTGGTGTCTGTGAACAATCGAATTGATGAAATTTCAAATTAGATACTCTTGATTGCTTACACCATACGCACAAGGTGATGACTGTCGACCGCGTAGCTCAGGGGTAAAGGTTTGAAGTCCCGACCCGAAGATTCGTGGTTCGAGTCCTGCTGACAGGTGCACACAACGTACGCGCACTGCTGACGAGGCCCCCGAAACAAGACAGAACAGCTCTGTCCAGTGCGCTCCTTTGTCAGACATCACCTAA